AAGCATTGTTTTTGTTTATTTACATGTTGTTTGCAGAAGTTTGAAGTTTTTCTTTGTTCACTGACAAAAAAAGCAAAAAACACTGAACTCAGATCAGTTAGTTTACTTTACAGAAATGTAACCTGATAGTTTCACTGTACAGATTGTTCTTTAGAGCCGCTGTGGTTTAAGTGCAGTACTTACTGTGTACTGAGACTTTACAGCGTCAGTGCTGTGTGAGGCGTTTAGGGACCGTTTTATTGCTGCTGAAAACACAGACAGGTGTATTAAACCACAGGTGAGCAGTTCTTCAGCCTGAATCCCATTTACCCTCGAAGATTTTACCTTTTTCAGACCACTATTATAAAAAGAACGGAATCTTTATGGCTTACCTGCCCAAATAAAGTTAATGTTGAGTCAGTGCGCCATCTTGTGGTACGAATTGGTATTGCAGTGAAGAACAGCCCAGTCTGCAGAACGTGTATGCAGATGTTTTAGGCCCAGATGTTTTGGAGCTTTTTATTCACATTCTGTTGATCGTTTAGTTTATTTTGAAAGGTTTTCAGGTCTGTGCTAGAGTGAAGATAAAAGAGAAAATTACAGTGATAAATACAAAATGAGTGCACTTAAAGAGAAACGTTTTCCATGATGGAAGGTGTGTTATTATGTTTATCAATAAGTCAGTCTTTTCTGAGTGACTTACCTTTCAAAGAGCTGTGCCGCCCTCTGGTCATACAGGTGTTACTGTCACACACATCTGCAGCAGTGTGATAGGTGTGTGTGTTTATGAAAATCAGACGTGCAGCACAGAGCAGTTATTGGTGACCTCATGAATATTTAGCCTTTAGAGATGTTTTCCAGCTCAAAGAGATTCAGAGTGAATGTTTTACCTTCTGTGAAGGCTCAGCTTAGATGTTTTATACGCAGGTTTGGAGCTCAGACTCGGTGCAGACTGTTGGCTTTTGTACAGTGACCTTTGACCTCCAGAGTTTCCTGTATGACTCAGATTTGGTTGTTTGGGTTTGATCCTGTTTGTTTTTGTCAACTGCTGAACGGCTGCAGAGAAAACTCAGCGACTGTGTGAGAGACGTCTAAATATGATGATTTCATGCTTAAATGTGGAGATTAATGCCATTTAAACACTTTACACGTGATGGTCATGTGACCAAAACAAGTAGTTCATGTGTTTGTTTATTCATCCAGTTTTATGTTCACAGAAACTAAACCTGTTTAAACCTGTTTGTACTGACGGTAATTTTTACTTCAGGAGTCGTTGATGTTGGATTATGTTCAGGACGTCAGAGTTAATGTTTCCATGTGGTGTAAACTGATACAGGAAGGTCAAATATGGGTGTGTATCTGATAAAGTATGTGTTAAATAAGAGATGTGTTTTAACAAAAGGTAAAGCTGCTTTGAAAATAATTCATAATGTGACAAAGAAGAAGATAAAACCTGAAGAACATGTTTTCTGCATGGACGTGTTTGTTCCTGAAAGCTGCTCAGACCGCTCTGATAATTCGAGCTTCTTTTGTCACCTGAACATCTTTAAATGCAGATTTGTTTCCTCTGAAAACAAAACAGGTTCCAGACCAAAGATGGTTCACAGTATTTGTCAGCTTCGACCCTCCGGTGTGTGACGGGTCTGAGCAGATCTCGATGCCTTTACTGCCTGGGTTGAAATGATGAGTGTAGATGTTATTATTCTGTTTCCTGCAGCTTTCACCGTTAAACTGTACTGAAACTAAAAACCATCAGTCTCCATCACAGGAAAAAAAGGAGCTCAAAATATTTTTACTGAGAGAAAAGAAATGATGGGAGAATCTCAGAGTTGCTGCTGAAAACCCGACTTTAGTATTTTTGTTATTTTCATACATGAAACTTCCTTGGTGTCCTCTGACTGACCAGCTGATTGTTGAACAGTGATAACAGAAAATGACGTGTAAATCCTGAGTGGTACTAATAATGTATTAAACTACGGTACATCAGTATTGTCCTCCAACATGTAACGAAATGATGGATTAATAAATTATTTGGTGAAAACAACCTTTGCTTGACGACCGGATCATTTTACTCCTTCTCTTTGATGACTTTCATCAGGCTGCATGTAAACAGACGTGCTGCATCACCACCAACCTTTCTATGTCGTTTTCTTTTCTGCTGTTATGGAACATTTAAAGCTGCATTAATTGATTTCAAACACGAGTGAGTCATCTGATAATTATATTAATGTTAATATTAGTGAATTAATGTATATGATCCTCAGAGTCTCCACAGTGACTCGAACAAATATTTATTCTTTTAATTTGACCATCAAAAAC